AGCTTTAGCCCAAGCTTATGACTTAATAGTTTAAAACTTTTTCATTTTTATAAAATAGCACGTATCCTCTAGTATACATGCCCGATAATTGTTACTGACATTTTAAATGGCTACAATTTTAAAACTTTAAAGGTTGTTAATCACACTGTTTTCACAAAATAGAACCCCTTAATCCAGAATGTGTGTTAAATGTTTCATCTCTCTTTCAAACAAACAAAATATAAATGTTGACTTTTCTTCTGTTTTTCTTAATTAGAAATTGCTCCTACTGTTGTCTTGGAATGTTACTGGAAAGGATCACAAATTATCACAACTTGATAAACTTGTAACCTGTATTCACTGGATCAGATTATTGACATAGAAGTTCAATGTATTGTCACATTTTTTGGTCACTAAAATGTGCAGAACGTGTCTTTAAATCTAATGTTTGTGCAACACTTGTACAAAATGCACAATAGGGCATATTTTATTCATATTCGTCATATACTTTGAAAAACTTTACAAAAAGTAACTGAAGAATCTGAGTTAATGAATTGCAACAACATTTAATTTTTGAATTGTATTCAACAGACAAAACAAATCTGAAAATATATTTTAATTTCCAGAGATCTCCTGCAAAAATACATCTAAAAGGCTTAACTTTATTTTCCATGTTTTTATCTGTGAAGGTTTAGGGAAATTATGTTTTCTTTAGAAACTTTAAACCGAAATACAACATATAAAATAATTTCTCCATGCTTAAACAGGCAAATAAAATATGACACTGATAAATATATTTTAATGATTATGTGCAACAACTCAGGAAATCACTTACTAGAACATTTTACTTACAGACCTTCCACATCATGAAGAAAGAATCTATGATGGTTTAACTTGTTTCTCATTATGTTAAATATAAAAGAAAAAACATTTTACAAAATGCTTCTGCACCCTGGGAACATTTCACATTCTTTTAAATCGGTATGCATTCATGCTTCAGAAAAGTCAGACATATACTATACATGTTACCAACTTTTCAAATAGTGCACCACATGTTTTCTTTTCTTTTTTTTTGTCTGCTATGTAAAATAAATGTACATTGTAGCACAAACCTATTACATAATAAGGTTATAGAGCTGCTCATAACTGATCTGCCTCATTTTTTACAGGAGGCAAGACAGAGACGTCCAGAAACAGTTTGTCACAGAGACAATCAGAGGAAGAGGTTGATGAGGATAAATTCTCCAGAAGATGTTCATGAATGGAGCCTTGAGGTTGTGAGTAAATGTGGCTGAGCATACGTAATAAGAAACAAACAAATCAATAACTTCTTTTTACGTTTCTCTGTGAAGTCTTCTGAAAACAATGGCCATTCAGGAATGCATGGATTGATAGGAGAGTTTGCAGATTGTTTCAGGAATCCAGGAGACTAAAAAATGTTTTAAACTCTTCACAAAAATGTCATCAAATGTTCAGCACAGTTTAAATTTAACACTTTGTTTACCTGTAGCTTTTTGGACTTATTTGAAAAAACACAGAAACTGAATTAATTTTCTTCAATTCATACTGTTTTACAGAATCCAAGCACAGCTTTTGTTTTGTTGTCATCATCCTTCAAAAATCTCCTTTTATTTGTTGCCCAATATTTTAATCAAAAGTCAAATTGACAACTCAGTTTATCTCTGTAAAATTGTGTCCGAAGAAAAACTTACAGCTGCAGACATGCCCAAAAGTGTCACAGATAATTTCTGTAGAAAAATGCCAAAGAACCGGATTTCCAGAAATGAAAGCTATTCCTAAATGACGGCCGCGTTTTTCCTTCCCACCCATCAGTAGCTCTTTGACTCTGCCTGAGCCTTGTCCTCAGATTGCTTTTGGCCTACTTTCAGCAGCAGCGAGCTAAAGCGTGTGAGCCAAACCTCAGCGTGGATTTTAAGGCAGAGTGTGTGAGCGATGAAGAGGCAAGGCACAGCAAAAAGCAGCGGACAAAGACGACAGAGACAAAATGCCAAACATACACACACTGCTTCTCTGTGTATTTCTTTTAGGGTTCCAACTATCTCTATTAACAAATGAGCAGAAAAATCCATCAACACACTTCTTTTGTCTAGAGTGAAGTTCATCTGAGTAACATTTTCTGTATTTGCAACACATCATTCACGACATATAAAGAATATACATATTGTTTTCTATTTCCCATAACTGTGAATTTGTCAGAAAGTAAGTAAACTTGGAAAAAGAAATGTGCTGAAGCATACATACATTCAGCTTATTACAAACTGGATTAAAGATTTTTGAGGAAAAAGGAAATGTAATCTTCCTAAAAGCAGAATTTAAATCATACTGAAGCAATCTTCCGATTTGATCAAAAAAAGGCACATTTGTTCTTCCTATTAATTTGGCTTTATAAAAAAGGTTTTATTATTTACCAGTGGTGGTTCTTTCTGTTGCTCAGTGTTGCTATATTATTACTTAACAAGCAGCATGATAATATAGGAAATGAAATCAATAATCAAATGAAAGCACTAATATTATTTTCACGTAAGCAAAGAAATAAAAATCACAATTCCCACCTGTGTATTTAAAATGAGCTTTTATGAATTCTGACTATAATTTAATTACTCTTAATATTTATTACAAGGCTCAGTATACTCAGAATGTTAACTCACATTTTTAGCATCAGAACAAATTGATTTGTCTTTTAATTAAATAAAGCATTTGTTTTTAGTTTTATCAAGTTTCCATATTCTGAAATAGCCTCACTGAAAAGTAAAACCTGAGAATAATTATTTTTGGATGGTAAATTAAAAAAAATCCAGTTTTATTCAGGTAACAAAGAATGCTACACAACATGACACAGATGTTCATTACATAATATTTGCACAGTGGAAAAACATATCTAAACCCTCAGGAAGTAAAAACTACATTTAAGCATTTTTGAATTAAAGAAAAAAAGGTTTTTGAATTAATGAAATAGTTTTCATCTGATTATCTTAAAATATGCAGTTGTATTTTCTTTTCAAGCTTCTGCAGCAGTAAAATCTTAATGGCAAACATTCCTGTGCTGCTTGCTGCGTCCCAAACCTTTAACCAAAACCTGACTGGAAGGAAGCGCTTCACATGTGAGGCTTTCTGGTATTCGAATCAGTCACAGCAGTTGCAGATTCAAATCAAAGTTCAATAGATACTGAAAAGAAATTCAACATTTGATTTAAAAAAAAAAAGGTTGGCAGCATTTCACAATATAGTCAGAAAAGCAGGAATTCCCATGAAAATCCTCCATAACACTAAAACTTGTATGTAAATGCAAAAAAATATTGTTATTGATTCAATTGGTATAATGAAATGTTAGAATGTAGCTGTAGTTCTGAAATCTGATACATGAGCGTCTGAATCCTTCACAGACCGGGAATAAACTAAGACCGGAACAGAAAAGCAGGGAATTCGGACAGGACAGGTCTGGCCTTCACCAACTGTCCCTGCCCCAACTTCAGTGTAATTTATGTTGCCTAGCAACCGTGACAGCGTGAAGTAGAGAGCGGAGAAGAAAAAAAACAATGGAGCCGAAGTTTGTTTTTCAGTCTCGATTTCTATATTATTCTTCACCTTTTATAGTAAAAAAAAAAATCTGTTAGTTTGATTCTAAAATGTTCAAACATGTATTGCACATTTCTACCAGGAATAAATAGAAGCAAATTATTCATTTTCAAATATAATACTCTCCAGATCTCAGATAAGCCATTAGTTAAATAAAACTGTTATGTTTAAGGCTTTACTTTAATCAATCAAACCGATTTACTCAGGAATAAATTAAATACTTTGGTAAACCAAGCATTATACTGCTAGACAGACTAAATAATATCGGAGTTTAACTTCCACTCACTGGGGAAAGCTAGTGGGAGTTTTTATAACGGTGTTCCAGGAGTCAGGCCTTCTCTCAAGGTAAACCAAACCTGGAGCGCCCGGCCAGCTGACAGCTGGCGAGGGGAGCTGGCTGTCCGAAAATGTCAGAGCAATATTACAACTAGGTGATGCATTGATGAACCGAGCAAATATTTCAGACTTACAAAGTCACACTCTCACCTACAAACATTGTAAAAAAATTATGTTGTCACTTAAAGTGTAATATAGCAAAATAATTTGCTGCTCTTCACCACCATTGCCGCTTTGCCTGAACGCTCGGTTTGGGCCCGCAGTGAGTAATGGGATATGGTGGGCTGTGAAGAATACACCGGACCATCCTTCAAATCTGGTGAAAAGAAGGACGCATTTGAAGGAGTCTTCGAATTCGGACAGGCCTTGTCGCAGAGCTATGATGTAATCGGCCTTCAAGTCTGTCCTTTGAAGGATGCAGACCCTGAATTCGGACACAGCTATGGAGCATGCTAAGCTAAGAGCATGCTAAGCTAAGGCTATGCTAAAATGCTAGCAATAAATCTGTATTTACTGACAACATTGGTACAAAACAGGTTCAGTTTGATGGGCTTTCATCATCATTTCTTTCAGATGGACAATCACAGTCTTCACAGTTATAGACAAAGAATAGCAAACATAAAAGTTTTTGACAACTCAAAATAACTTGTATGCAACATGTTATCATAGCACATACAGCAGTAATTTTAAAATTTTTTAATTTTAAAATAGCAAAAAGGCTATATAATTAAATATTCAAATAAAGACAAACATGAGTAAACCTAATGAATAATAACTGTTTAAATAAATATTAATAGAGTAGTATAAACTTCATGAAACAGCATGAAGCCTTGATGGATATATTCAAGAAAATACGACACAGGAACTTTAGACGTATTTTATTGTCATTACAGTATTTCACAGAGACATTCTAGGAGACATGCAGGAATAGTTAATGCACATTCTGGAAATGACATCCCATACACACAAGTAAGTGTGTGTGTGTGTGTGTGTGTGTGTGTGTGTGCGTTCATAGGGGCAGCTAAGACTTTTTAATCCATCTCAGGTACCTGGCCTGTTTCAACATGTTATGATCTGGTTTAATCATCTGAAACAGAGAAAGACAAAACTTGTTGAGTGTACAGCAGATATTCAACGTGCCGTTAGGTCAGAGAACAATCAGAGCTACACTGGAGCTGTACAAATGCTTGCATCCACTATTTCTTCATTTAAGAGTAATAGGAGTATAAAACCATATCAAAACACAAAACCTTTAAATTTACTGCAACCCCTCATAATTACTTGTGACTCTTATATTTGCATCATTTGTATTATTTTGTGAACTATAACTATGCAAAAATAAATTTCAAAATAAAACCTCCCATTTTAAATCAGGTGAAAAATATAGCAAGCAGTGAGAAATCTGAGATTTTCATGTCCACTGACTTTGTTCATGTCTTCATACAGAATATAATGGTCTTTGTTGTCAAAGATGAGATGCTTTAATACATTCTGTCTCACACACACACACACACGCATGCACGCACGCACACTTGCATGCATACACACAGTAAAGAATTATTCTGTCCTTAAACAGTCTGCCTGAAACCTTCTAAATGGCATAAAAATACCCTGAACAGATTTGGTTTCACAATTACAATAAGGTCAAAGGAATTGTGAATTACAGCAGCAAATTTTTTTTAGACACAGCAGTAAAATGTCTCCATCTGATGAGAGCGCCTCAGTGCTCCCGCATTACGACTGTATTAGGAAGCAAAAAAGCATGTTATTTAACATTATACCATCTATTTATATTGTGTTTGTATTTCAGAGAGCCACATTTCTTATTTCTAAGTTCCATCCTATTCCAAAACTAAAAATTCTAGATTTAGATCCAAAGTAAAATGAATCAGCTTTTTTCAACACCTAGAAAAAGAATAATAAATGTACTTGTCCTTAGCAAGAATCCTGGTTTTTTAATCTGTGCCCACTTAAAAAGGACAGAATAAAACCAAACTGTTGCAAATCTTAGCTTGTATCATTTTTAGTATAACTACATATCTTGCATGTGAACAGTATAGCAGCAAACATATTTTCACTTCTGAGAAACCTCAATGCAGTGTAGTTATTCTGTAGCTTGGAAACTAGAGCTTCAAACTCTTGGTGAATTTAGATTCAATCATTTTATATTTCATTTACATTTTTTTTTTGAAGTAGCTGCATTTGAATCACACTGAAAAAAAGATGAATTGAGTTAAAGTGGATGTAAATAAAATATTTATGAGCTGGACAAACTTTTCTTGTAACCTGCCTTTAGACTGCTTTTATTGTAAATTAGTGTTAGAGAAGGAAATTGTAATAATCAACCTTAAATTGATACAAACTGAATCAAATTAAATGACTGTAACTCAAACCAAGCTGAAGAGAGCTGGACAGAACTCCACTCAACTTAGAAAATTCAACTAAACCAGGATAAGCAGAGTTTTTCTGAACTGAGCTCAAACTGAACTGAGGCAAACTACAATAAACTAAATTTAAATTAAATGAATATGATTTAACCAAATTGGATAAAACTGAAGAAAACTGAACTGATTTAAATGAATTAGGTTGAAGTGAACTGCATTTTGTTCAGATCAGTGAATAATAATAATAATAATACAAACAGGCCAAGGTTATTATAAATCTATACTGTAGCTGATCTGACATAATAAATACAGTATTGACATAAACTGAGGTTACTGTAACTTGTTCCTGCTTGTTAAGGTTAAAATCCTACATAGTTCAAGACGGGACACAAATATATTAAGAGCAAACATTTCTTTACTATTGCATAACGTTGGTGATGGCTATGGATTTCATATTCTTGTTTCTGAAAGAAATACAATGGGATTTTATTTTACTTTAATATCTAAATAATATAAAAGGTAAAGGCAGCAATTAAGTAATTTGCTTACTTAGTAATTAAAACTGTATTGTTTGTAAATTGAAGGAGTATTAGTGTGATGTAAAGATGCACCATGTATTTTATTTGGTTTTGCCGTTTGGTCTCTTCCTTCTGCAGGTTGTCAGTAACCAACAGACTCGGTTACATTTGTTTATGACTGTATATTGATGTAAGTGGACATTTCCAGTTGTGCCTTGGTTCAAGGGATAAGGTGGCCATTAATATTTTATTTGTTCGGCCTTATGTAAAGACGTATATGTTCTTTAGATTTTACTAAGGGTTTTCTGACTTTAAAGTTTATAGTGGTGACTAGATAGTTGGTTTTCTTGCATATGCGTAACTTCCTGAAGGACTGGTGTGGACATGTCCCCACCAACTCTGGCCTGAAGGGGACGGAGTTATTGGTGGGACAACCCCCACCAATATTTCATACACCTTTTTCCTTTATGTACCTGCATTTGTGTACAGTAAGTGGAAAGCAGCTGCACACTCTGTTCAAAGCATTAACAGCCAGTGGACGACTGAAATTTTTAATTTCTTTGTGAAATGTAAATGGCAAATCCGCTCAGTGATCTAGAGCAGTGTTTTTCAACCTTTTTTGAGCCAAGGTAATTGTTTTAATTGAAAAAATCTCGAGGCACACCACCAACCAAAAATGTAAACAAAGATACTCTGTAGCCGCCTATATTATATATATAGTCATTCTTATCAAAGTGTCTTGAATAGGAATCAAATAAACACAAAAATGTTTTTTTTATATCACATTTTACATTTCTTATTTCAAATTGCAGGTAACATGTCCACTTCAGAAATACACCTGAACAGCCACAACACTGTGGTGTTAAATTTAAAGAAGTTGTAGAAAACTTCAGTGTTTTACAAACTAATCCACAAGCATTATTTAAGCTGGAATACAGAAAATAATTCTTATTCTGAAAGAAGCAATAATATTTGAGAAAGATTTCACTTCATATTCACTATTACAATATGAAGATTTGCATGTACAAAATGTCAATATCTGTATATTTTACCCATCTAGTGTGAAACCTGTGCATGTTTGGATGAAAACAGCTGATTTCCTGGCAGAAATTGAAGAAAGACAAAGCTCTCCCTCAACAGCTCCCAGTCTCTCTCTGCTTTTAGTTTTTATAGTAGCCAGGCTTGAGAAGCTCACTTCACACATATATGTTGTGGGAAATGGACCCATGTTCTTTCCAGCTACTGCTGAGCTTCACTGTCTTTTCCATCACTGTATCTAGCACAGTCTTGCTAGATACGATGCTCTCACCGCTACCTGTAACATTCATGCATCACTAATTCTCTTGTTTTAATGTAAATGCTCAGTACCTACTGCCATCTAGTGGTAAGAAAATTACATGATTACGCCGCTAGCCACTTCTAACCATGGTTTCGTTCACGCCGAGCTTAAGTGCAGCGGCTTTATTTCCCTCCTGTAGTGGCAGCTCGACAGCCCTCAACTTAAAAGCTGCATCATATGAGTTTGAAAACATTTCTCCGTCGTGCCTGCTGCTAGCATGTGGTTGTTCTTGTCTGTACTTGTGTTCTCGCGTCCTCGTGAAACGT